TATATTTATATGTATATGTATATATATATATATATATATATTTTTTTCTCTTCAAATGTTCTCAGGCAACCTACCCAGGATGCCCCAGAGGAGGTGCGTGCCCGTGACTTCCGCAGGGAGCTGGAGGAGAGGGAGCGTGTAGCTGTACGGGACAAGACCAGAGAAAGGGGACCACGGGGTTGGTTTTTCTGCAGATGTTAGACTTGATGTTTATTTAAAATGCCTGTTAGGCTTATGGACTCAAATATATATATATATATATATATTATCTTAACTTTTACCCATGAAAACTACTTAAAATTCTGCATCGACTCTAATTTTCCAGAGCACACCACATCATCGTCATCTTCATCATCATCTTCAAAGAGGCCCAGACTGGATCAGATCCCAGCAGCCAACCTTGATGCTGACGACCCTCTCACTGATGTAAGTGCTTGCGCTGCAAGTTTTAGTGGACACTTTGTGGTGATTAGCTCTCATTAAGCTCCCTCGCCAATGATGCTTGGTTGTTTACAGGATGATGAGGATGAGGACTCTGAGGAAGACAGTGATGACGATGACACTGCAGCTCTTCTGGCAGAACTGGAGAAGATCAAGAAGGAGCGGGCTGAAGAGCAAGAACGCAAAGTAAAGTATCATTTCAGACCGACGTGATTGTACCTGCCGTCTGACACATAATGGGCTGACAGCACAGTCAGCAGTTTAAAACGTAGGTTATGTTTGTTTAGTGAATTTGCTTTTTTTTCTTCTTCTTAGGAGCGGGAGCAAAAAGCGGAGGAGGAGAGAATTCGCATGGAAAATATCTTGAGTGGCAATCCGTTGATTAATTTGGCAGGACAACAACAGCAACAACAGATGAACCCGACTCCGACTACATTCAGGGTCAAGAGAAGGTATCACAAGCACACACCGTTATGCACAACACGAGTGTTTGAAGTTCTCTTCACTTTCCACTAATCAACAACACTTGTTTATATCTTTCTAGGTGGGATGATGATGTTGTGTTCAAGAACTGTGCCAAAGGAGTGGATGAGGCACGGAAGGAGAAGCGCTTTGTAAATGACACACTGCGCTCTGAGTTCCACAAGAAATTTATGGAGAAATATGTAAAGTAAAGGACTTTGTGTGTCTTAATTTTATTGTTTTTTTTATTTTTTATTTCATTTCTCTGGTCTCCGCCTTCCTGTTGTCCTCTGTCTCATGAATGATAGATGGCATTCAAATATGTCCTGTATTCAAATGCATTAGTATTTGTACAGTCAACACGTAAAATGTATATAAATGAGTTAGTCAGTTGCATCTTTTGAATAAAACTTGTGAAAAGTTGAATGAAATTGAGTATTTCTGTAGACGGGTTTTATCTTTCACTTCAATAAACATTGTGGAGAATTGTCTTTTTACAGATTTATTTTCCAAGAACCTTTTTATCCTAATTTTATCTCATCTGGGTACTAAATTTATTCATGGGATTGAAAGTTAATCAGAACTTTCTTCAGAATTGTTCCCTTTGATGTCTTGTAAGGACATTTGTCGAGAAGGAAACATCATCTTCAAAATATTAAGCGGACTGTCACAGATAGAGGAATAACATTCAATTCTAAAAACAGTCCTTGTATCTTCACTGGAAAAATTGTTTTACATATCTTTTTTCTTTTTTATTAGTAAGGTAAACATTTATGGACTTCTTAGTGACCTCCCACCTTTAAACACTGGTAAAGCCTGTGACCTTCCACCTGGTAAAAAAAAAGATTCACTGCAATCCATGATCACAATCTTACCAAAATCTTTGTTTTTAAGATTTGTTCATGTGCTTTATACTTGTTTCCTGATTATAAATCATGGATTATTTGATTCAACAACATTCATAATCGTTTTGTAAGTAACTAAAGAGTGACAACACATTGTGTGAGGGATTTTGGTGCATTTCCCCACACGATTATTCCCCATTCAACATAAATATGATTTAAAACAATCCAGTTGATATTCTTTATTGTTCAAAATGTTAATTTATACGTTTAAAATGAATACATGCTTACATTCAACCTTACATATTTGAATGTGAATAAAATAAGCACCATTAAACCATTAAACTATATTGAGTGCAGCAGCAGGTAAACGAGTAGAACAACGACGTTATAGAGATGTGGCATTTATGGGACACGGAATTCAGATGCACAAAGTAATGTATGTGTATGTTTGATGTTTTCCTAAACATAATTTGACGTATGAATGCATATAAAGCGTGTTTTTTACTTTTGAAATACTACCCACCAGAGCAATGCGTGTATCAACGACACACTGTGTAATTAAAAGGCAGTTTGTTTCACAGAGAAGGGTAACTAAGAGAAACGTACAAAGGGCAGTGAAGGCAGCATGCGACAGGCTTTGATACTCGGGGCAGCCGGCAGGGGGCGCCATCTCCGACAGTCGCTCTCCGTGTGACAGGGATTGGGAGGCTGCTGGGAAAAGATGGCAGCTTCCTTTTGTGTGTGTGGATTTACTGGACTCCGAGGGGGGATTTAAACACATCGTTCAGTGGATACACGGACCCTCCGTCGCTCACGGCCGGCTGCCCCCCCTCACTTCGAGCAGGAGAACATGGAGAAGAGCGGCAGCATCGACAGTCTGGGCTCGAAGCGCTCCTCTTCCCGACAGCCAAGTGTTGATTCATTGTCCAGGTAGCTACAAAAACACCACAACACATCGCCTTTTGTGAGCTAGCTATAAGTTTTCAAACTAACACAGGGCTGTATGTTTACTGACTTCAGCTGACTCGTCTCACCCTAATGCAGTTATTGTAACCCTTCAGAGGTGATTGTTGAACCAGTAGTAATGTTATCTGCTTTGAAACGACCACATATGTTTGACAGTAAATTAGCATTATCGGCTGTTGTTTTTGTTGTTCGTTTA